AACACACAACACATAGAAGACAGTAGCTAACACACAACACATAGAAGAAAGTAACTAACACACGACACATAGAAGACAGTAGCTAACACACAACACATAGAAGAAGGTAACTAACACACAACGAAACATAGAAGTACATAAACGACACCGTAAGACATAACACATAAATGACATAACGACACTATATACACATAGAAACGCGTAAGTCACACAACACATACAAATAAGACACACAAAGCCACTACAGGTCACACAGAACAATTTATCAGTCACTTCTGGTCTCTGGGAATGTTATGTGGTGAGGCCGCAAACATCACACTCGCTAACACAGTCACGACACAATAACAACACAGAGTCAACAGCTGTGTGGGTGACACAGAGTTAAACACCCAGGGTATAGACACACAGCCAAGTCTTCAGGCCGATCCTTCCCCACCTCTCCCTCACTCTAGCTTTCACCACCAGTGTCACACTGATGACTCGCCTGCTCACCCAACAAGCATGGCATGGTGACGCGTGTCCTTTCTCAACATGCTCTGTGAGCCAAAGTTTTGTTGTTGTAGTTGTTGCTTTTGGGCACTTCCGGGGACTATAACGCCACCATCGAATAGCGAACTTCCGGGGACTATACCGCCACCGCCAGGGTATCCCAACGCCGCTCTCGCGGCGTGGATTGGGGCTAAACTAGATGGCTAGGACTAACGAGCAAATAAAATGAAGGAAGCTGCAGGAGATGCGGTAGCTGCTGCTCGTGTGTCCTAGCCATCTAGTTTAGCACCAATCCACGAGCGGCTTAGGGAATACGCAATTGACACGTGACTGAGGCCCTGTTAGGATATATTTTCCGCCTCGATAATTTACGACCGTTATTCGGAGGAAAGCGCATATATATATATTTGATAAAGAATCCATCGGTCGTCATCGGTTACCCCGGCCTTCCTATCTGTCCTACACCTGCCTCAGTTTTATCCATTTTATGAATCATTTCTAATTCAAACTAGATGGCTGGGACTCGCAAGCAAATAAAAAGAGGAAGCTGCAGATGTGGTAGCAGCTGCTCGTGAGTCCCAGCCATTTAGTTTAACTCCCCTCCGCGCCGCAACGCGGGGGATACTCTCTGCGGTGACTTTAGCTCGGCGGAAGCTTCTGATGGTAGACGGGGGGGGGGGAAGAGGTGAATTGGGGGGGATGGGATCCAGGGGAAGAAGGGATCCCGGGGGTATAAAGAGGAGATCCCCGGGGGAGAGGTGATCACAGGGGGGGGGGAGGGGATCCCCGGGGGAAGATATATATAAACACCAGGGAGGGGCGAAGAGAGGCATCCCTGGGGAAAGAGCGGAGGATCCCAGGGGAAGGGGAGGAGGGGATCCTTGGGGAGGGGAAAAGAGGGGATCCCTGGAGAGGGGGAAAGAGGGGATCCCAGGCGGGGAGGGGATCCTGGGGAGGGGGATTCCGGGGGAGGGGGTGGTAAAAGGGAATCCCAGGGGGGAGAAAGAGGGGATCCCGGGGAAAATGGGGGGGGGGATCCCCGGGGAAAGGGGGAGGGGATCCCAGGGGAGGGGGAAAGGGGATCCCGGGGGATTGAGGATCCCGGGGGTGGGGGAGAAAGAGGGGATCCCGAGGAAAGAGGGTTTCCAGGGGGGCGGGGGGGGGGTAGGGTTAGTGTTGTTGTAGTAGCAGTTGTAGTAGTAGTAGTTTTTGCAGTAGTAATGGTAGTAGTAATTATAGTAGTAATTATAGTAGTAATTATAGTAGTAATGGTAGTAGTAATTATAGTAGTAATAATAGTAGTAATTATAGTAGTAATGGTAGTAGTAATTATAGTAGTAATAATAGTAGCAGTAGTAGTAGTTGTTGTTACCTGCCAGCTTTAGTATTTTGGGTCTGTAATATAAATCTCTACATTTTCCAGAATAACTACAAAGTTAGTTTCAGTGATAACCTACTGATCATGGACACACAACAGAGGCACACATACCCACGTATACATATTTTTAAAAAGGCGGGTGACCTTCATACTTCATAGTTGAACATTATTACTTAACACGCCCTTTGGATTTTAAAAGAGCTCTTGGAATACAAATCGTGCTTGCTGCATTAACATGTAATTGCTAATTAAATATTCCAAACACGAGCTGCTAATGAACATTAGATAATGTTTATGTCTGTAACAGCCACGATTGTATGTGTTTGCATGCAGCCACTGATAAGAGAACCTTTTTAGTTTGTGTTAAAATGTAAACATACCATAGTAATATAAATGGCACGGACAAGAACAGAAGATCTACTAGTTGTATTGTGGTGAGCGCGGGAATCTTCCGGACACAGGATACAGCCCAAAGTTGGGGATGTATTTTTGTTGGAGTCACCAGACACATTATCAAGTCTAGATAGATCTCGTGATATATTTCTTCTGGAGAGTCACCAGACACATTATCAAGTCTAGATAGATCTCGTGACATATTTCTTCTGGAGAGTCACCAGACACATTATCAAGTCTAGATAGATCTCGTGACATATTTCTTCTGGAGAGTCACCAGACACAATTAAAAATCTATTGCTCGCCAAATACTTGTGCGGAACAGTCACCAAACACAACATACTGTCTAGAGCTTTGCAAAATCTTATGTTGGACATTCTCTAGTCAGTTACCTGACACAACTTACAGTCTAGAGCCTAGAGGAATCTTCTGTTGGACATTCTCTAGTCCCAAAATACAGTTACCTGACACAACATACAGTCTGAAACGTTGAATATATTTTTGCCGGATAGCTACCCGACACTCCTGAATGCCAACAGCTGCCTGTGTATGCAAACACCCGGGGGTATGTTAACATGATTTTGGTGCTGTTACATACAAACTATAGTTAGATGATTTTAGACTACGGGGCAAATCTAGACCTTCATTACAACCAGTTAATGAAAATCACAACACAGATGAAATGTCGAGAAAAACTCGTGGAGTAGAAAGAAAAATAAAAAAATAAATAAAAATAAAAAGAAAAAATCTGAAACAGAATAAGGCTAAAAGCAGTGAACCATTTCATTTACAAACAAACATCTTTTTAATAATTTGGCCGACGATCAGAAATTTAGAAAAAAGAGACAAAAAAGCACCCATCGAAAAAGTGTAATATGTAAACAGAAAAGCATGGACCAAGTGTTAACTTTATGTTGCGTCTTAGATACCTTAGATTTTGTATTCCATTCTATCTCACTTTACTTTAGTTTTACTTACTTTACTCTACTGCGCCTAACATTACTTTCTTCTACTCCACTTGCCTTCCTATTTACTCTAAATTCCTTCACTATAGCTAATGTTACTTCACTTTACCTCAGTTTACTCTACCGAAATAACCTCATGTTACCTTACTTTACTATACCTTACAATATGTTACCTTACTTTACTATACCTTACAATATGTTACCTTACTTTACTATACCTTAAATATACCTTACTTTACTTTACTTACAATATGTTACCTTACTACCTTACTTTATTATACATTACAATATGTTACCTTACTTTACTATACCTTACAATATGTTACCTTACTTTACTATACCTTACAGTATGTTACTGTACTTAACTTACAATATGTTACCTTACTTTACTATACCTTACAATATGTTACCTTACTTTACTATACCTTACAATATGTTACCTTACTTTACTATACCTTACAATATGTTACCTTACTTTACTATACCTTACAATATGTTACCTTACTTTATTATACATTACAATATGTTACCTTACTTAACTATACCTTACAATATGTTACCTTACCTTACTATACGTTACAATATGTTACCTCACTTTACTATACCTTACAAAATGTTACTTTACCTTACTATACCTTACAGTATGTTACCTTACTTTACTATAACTTACAATATGTTACGTTACTTTACTATACATTACAATATGTTACCTTACTTTACTATAACTTACAATATGTTACCTTACTTTACTTCAGTCTACCGTTCGTTTCCTGACTTTATTCTAGTCTTTTTTTGCTTCACTACCTCTTACGTTACATCTCTTTACCAAAATTTTCTCCACTGTACCTTAATTTACCTCATATTACCTTGTTTTACTTACCCTGCCTTACCTAACTTTATTCTACTGCATGTTACTTCTGTTTTACTTACCCTGCCTTACCTAACTTTATTCTACTGCATGTTACTTCTGTTTTACTTACCCTGCCTTACCTAACTTTATTCTACTGCATGTTACTTCTGTTTTACTTACCCTGCCTTACCTAACTTTATTCTACTGCATGTTACTTCTGTTTTACTTACCCTGCCTTACCTAACTTTATTCTACTGCATGTTACTTCTGTTTTACTTACCCTGCCTTACCTAACTTTATTCTACTGCATGTTACTTCTGTTTTACTTACCCTGCCTTACCTAACTTTATTCTACTGCATGTTACTTCTGCTGCCGCCAGGTAGCGGCTAGACCCTTGCTTGCGTGTTCAGGTCCTCGCAGAGCAGGACTTTTTTCAAAATATGACCTTGGCTCCCAGGTCGACGCAGCCTTTAATGGGTACAAGGTGCAGTTCTGGGAAGTAAAGACGGCCGGTGTGTTGCTGACTACATCACTTATTAGGCGCCGAGTGGTCTATAAAATATTGATTTTCCCTAAATGGTCTATACACCTGACGGCATGAAAAGGGCGCTTAACTTTATTGAATTCTAGCTTATTTTACTTCACTGGACATTACTTTACTCCACCTTACGTTACCTAACTTCACCTTACTTACGATATAACCTATAAGCCTCAGGTAGGGTTTTCAAGATTTGTTTTTTAAACTTTAATTTCTATTTACTCGATAGTCTCAAGGCGTGAACAGGTAATGTGTTTTTAAATTTTTTTTTTTTTTTAAATTTGTTGGTAGAAAACACCAAATACTCCAACGTGGTCTTACTTTAACGTGGTCTTATTTCAACTTGGTCTGGTTTCAACTTGGTCTGGTTTCAACAAGCGTGCACAATGAGTTGTGGCGGTTGGTTGAGTTTACTGGAAACCACACTAACAACGTCATGGACGATCTGTCTGCTGCTCGCCACGTTTGTCGCCACGGTCTTCTACTGGTATCAGAATCTGCACAAGGATGACTGGAGCCTTTACGGCATCAAGTGTCCCAGGATTCCAGGAAACGTCTTTTTAGAAATTAATTTTAAGTAAAGCGTATACTTTGTTTCTTCTTCTTCTTCGCGTTTACCAGCTTTACACTCTGGCGGAAGGTTCTGGTTGCTCGTCCACTACTGAACTGCAGTCCTGCTCCAGAACCTGAGTGTTGCGTGTGCATCAGTTTTACAGATCTCATTCTCTTGAATACAGACTGTCGGTTCCTTGCCTCTCCGGCAGATGCACTCCGACTTCAAAGGAAGCTCCCCAATTAGTCGACTCTTACGACATGCTTTTGGGGAGGCAGTGAGTCTATTCTTGTTTTCCCCACAATGGGGCCCCAGAACCCACACGGGGAATACTTTGTTTCAATTGCACTGGATCTTTACTTACATTACTTATTCTTCTTCTTTCGTCTAACTGAAAACAGGTTGTAACCCATTGTATTTTTCTTGCGCTTCTCGGGTGGCTTGGTGATAGATTTGTTCAACCTTTTGCAGGTTTCATCTACACCATTTATCCATATTTTCTTGGTCTTCCTCTCGCCTTTCTTCCAAATGTTCTACAGTAAAAAGTCTCAAATGCAGTCTAGTCTGGCTGTATTCTCCCTAAATGGCCAAACCATTTCATTCTTTTTCTGTCAATATAATCCATGGTCTTATTCAAACGTTCTCTCTAATGCTGGTATTTGTAACCTTGTCTCGGTCTCCTATAGTGTTGTTAGTGACCTTGCATTTCACGTGTAGTTATTTTCTGTTCTTTTGCCCTATTCATTGTCCATGTTTGGCACTGATAACATAAAGTAGGGATAAAGATGCTATTATTCATTTTTTGTTTTGCTGGAAGGGAGACATGTGGGTGTCTAAGCAGTGGGGCTAACTGGTAGGTGACAACATATGCCGTTTGTACTCTGGCTTCTATCTCTCTTTCGAGTCCGCCATCCTCCGTTAATATGTTCCGCAAATACTTAAATTCTCGTTTTTGTTTGATTGTAGTACCGTTAACATGAATGTTCATGATATTATGTTTCCTACCTATCCTCATTACCTTAGTTTTCGCGGTGTATATTTTCATTTAATACTTTGTGCAGGCTTGGTATAAGGAGCCAGTATGATGTTATAAATTCAATTTTTGGTGGTGTATTAGACATTGATCATCTGCAAAAAAAGGTGTCTGCATTTGCTTTCTGTGATATTCTATCGTTCTAAGTAATGAATAGCAATGGTTATTGGACACATCAATGACTGACACCTAATGAGATGGGAAACCAGACTTTCATTCCTTATCTTGTTCTTACTGTGCAGTGACTATCTTGCTAAAGAGCCATGATGTTACCCAACAGTTGATCTTAAATACTTCTAGAATTTTTCATAGTTTGCATCTGTTGACTCGATCGAATGCCTTCTCTTGTTCTATGAATACTAGATGTTGACTTCTATTTTATTCGATAGACTGCTCACATATCATCTTAAATTACTAAAAAACATTATTTAATTATTCCGCACATTATTAACTTCATCGATTTTTCGCCTGCAATATTAATGTCAACGTTTCACTACTGACAATTTTAAATACATGACAATTTCCAACACACTACTAACATTAATTCATCACACGTATTTTTAATTACACTAATTCATTACATACGTTATAAATTACATCGATACACTATTATAAACATTAAAACACCAAATACGATACGAATTATATCCATTCATCACACGCATTATTAGTTTATTTGCTCTATCACACACTTCAGTTTCACCAATCCGTCACATACATTATTAGTTCCATTGATCTGTCACACAAGTTATTACTTTTATCGATCTGTCAAAAACAATATTAGATTCATCAATCTGTCACAACCATTATTAGTTTCACCGATCTGTCACACGCTTTATTAGTTTTATCCATCTGTCACACACATTATTAGTTTAATCAATCTGTCACACACATTATTAGTTTAATCAATCTGTCACATGCATTATTAGTTTTATCAACTGTCACACAAATGATTAGTTTCCCTAATCTGTCACATACATTAATAGTTTCACCGATTTGTCACACACATTATTAGTTTCATCAGTCTGTCACACACATTATTAGTTTCATCAATCTGTCTCATACATTAAAGAATTCATCAATCTGTCACATACATTAAAGGATTCATCGATCTGTCACAAACATTAAAGGACTCATCAGTGTGTCACATACATTAAAGGTTTTATTAATCTGGCATACACATTAAAGGATTCATCAATCTGTCACATACATTAGAGGATTCATGAATCTGTCACATACATTAAAGTATTCATCAATCTGTCACACACATTAAAAGATTAATCAATCTGTCACATACATTAGAGGATTCATCAATCTGTCACATACATTAAAGAATTCATCAATCTGTCACATACAATAACGGATTAATCAATCTGTCACATATATTATTAGTTTCATCAATCTGTCACATACATTAAATGATTCATCAATCTGTCACACACATTAAAGGATTCATCAATCTGTCACATATATAATTAGTTGTATCAATCTATCACACACATTATTAGTTTCATCAATCTATCACATACATTAAAGCATCCTCAATCTGTAAAATACATTAAAGGATTCATCAGTCTGTCACACACATTATAGAATTCATCAATCTGTCACACACATTAAAGGATTCATCAATCTGTCACACACATTAAAGGATTCATCAATCTGTCACACACATTATTAGTTTCATCAATCTGTCACACACATTAAAGGATTCATCAATCTGTCTCATACATAAAAGGTTTTATCAATATGTCACACACATTATTAGTTTCATCAATCTGTCACATACATTAAAGGATTCATCAATCTATCACACACATTAAAGGATTCATCAATCTGTCACACACATTAAAGGATTCATCAATTTGTTACATATTAAAGATTTCATCAATCCGTCACACACATTAATGGATTCATCAATCTGTGACACACATAATTAGTTTCACCAATTGGTCGCACACATTATTAGCTTTATCAATCTGTCACAAACATTATTAGTTTTATCAATCTGTCACAAACATAATTAATTTCATTTATCTGTCACACACATTATTGGTTTCATCGATCGTTAGCACACATTTTTAATTTTACCAGTGTGTCACAAAAATTATTAGTTTCATCGATCTGTCACACACATTATTGGTTTTATCAATCTGTCACACATTAAAGGTTTTATCAATCTGTCACATACATTAAAGGTTTCATCAATATGTCACACACATTAAAGGATTCATCAATCCATCACACACATTAAAGGATTCATCAATCTGTCACACCCATTATTAGTTTCATCAATCTGTCACACACATTATTAGTTTCATCAATCTGTCACACGCATTAAAGGTTTCATCAATCTGTCACACACATTAAAGGATTCATCAATCTGTCACACACATTAAAGGTTTCATCAGACTGTCACACACATTAAAGGATTCATCAATCTGTCGCATACATTATTGGTTTGATCAATCTGTCATACACATTAAAGGATTGATCAATCTGTCACACACATTATTAGTTTCATCGATCGGTAGCAGATTAGTTTTATCAGTCTGTAACAAACATTATTAGTGTCATCAGTCTGTCACAAACATTATTAAATTCATCGATTGGTAGCAGATATTATTAGTTTTATCAATCTGTCACAAACATTATTAAATTCATCGATTGGTAGCAGATATTATTAGTTTTATCAATCTGTCACAAACATTATTAGTTTTATCAATCTGTCACAAACATTATTAGTTTCATCTATGTGTCACACACTCTATGTGATTCATCAGTCTGTCACAAATATTATTAGTTTTATCAATCTGTCACACACATTATTAGTTTCATCAATCTGTCACACACATTAAAAGTTTCATCAATCTGTCACACACATTAAACGATTCATTAAACTGTCACACACATTAAAGGTTTCATCAGTCTGTCACACACATTAAAGGATTCATCAATCTGTCACATACATTAAAGGTTTCATCAATCAGTCATACACATTAAAGGATTGATCAATCTCACACACATTATTAGTTTCATCGATCGGTAGCAGATTAGTTTTATCAATCTGTAACAAACATTATTAGTTTCATCAGTCTGTCACACACATTATATGATTCATCAATCTGTCACACACATTAATATTTGTATTGATCTGTTACACGCATTATTAGTTTTATCCATCTGTGACACACATTTTTAGTTTTATCAATCTGTCACACACATTATTGAATTCATCGATCGGTAGCAAACATTATTACTTTTATCAATCGGTCACAAACATTATTAGTTTCATCAGTCTGTCACAGACAATGTTGGTTTCATTAGTCTGTCACACACTTTATTAGTTTCATAAGTCCGTCACAAACATTATTAGTTTCATCGATCTGTCACAGACATTTTTGGTTTCATTAGTCTGTCACACACTTTATTAGTTTCATCAATCTGTCACACACGTGATTAGTTTCATCGATCTGTCACACACATTATTAGTTTCATCAATCTGTCACACACTTTATATGATTCATGAATCTGTCACCCACATTTTCAGTTTCATCGACCGGTAGCACACAATATTAGTTTTATCAATCTGTCACACACATCAATAGTTTTATCAATCTGTCACACACATTATTAGTTTTATCTATCTGTCACACACATTATATGATTCATGAATCTGTGACACACATTGTTAGTTTCATCGATTGGTAGCACACATTATTAGATTTATCAAACTGTCACAAACATTATCAGTTTCATCAGTCTGTCACAAAAATTATTAGTTTCGTCGATTTGTCACGTACATTATTGGTTTCATCAATCTGTCACGCACATTATAAGTTTTATCAATCTGTCACATCCATAGTTAGTTTCATCGATCGGTCGCACACAATTTTAGTTTTATTAATCTGTAACAGACATTATTAGTTTCATCGATCTGTCACACACATTTCTAAAGATTCATGAAACACATTAACCACTACATTAACTCTTTACATTCCTTACGGTTTATATAAATTACTGATAACATTGAATAATTTTTACTCATAACATATACAGGTTACATAAATTACTGATAACAGTAACTGTTTAAATCTATTTTTCATTACACTGACTGATCATTTAATCTGGTAATAGCCCAAACAAAATCACAAAAAATTAAAATAATATTGGGAGATTTTAATGCATAAGTTGGGAAAGAGAGAACGGAAGATGTAGTTGGCTATTATGATTTAGGATCAATACATGAAAGAGGTCAAACTCTGGTAGAGTGGGCCAAAATGATGATTGGGAACACCTGGTTTAAACAACAAAGGAGACGATTATACACGTGGTTTAAACAACAAAAGAGACGATTATACACGTGGTTTAAACAACAAAAGAGACGATTACACACATGGTTTAAACAACAAAAGAGACGATTACACACATGGTTTAAACAACAAAAGAGACGATTATACACGTGGAAAAGTCCAGATAAGAAAACATTCCATCAAATAGATTATATACTAATTAACAAAAGGTTTAGAAATGCACTAACCAATGTGAAGACAAGACCTAGTGCTGACTGTAACATTGACCGTGTCCTATTATGTGGAAATTTAAATGTACGACTGAAGAGGAGAAAGAAAGAGATGAAAAACTGAAAACTAAACAAAGATATTCTAAGAGAGGATAAAGACATTCAGGAGCGATATATAGAGTGATTGTGAAGAACAGATACAATACACTACCAAAAATACAAAAGATAAACGATCGGTGGGAAATGCCGAAAGAGTCTATCCATCAAAGCAAAGAGATTTGAACAGAAAGAAGACAAATAGCTAAACGGAAATGGATGACCAGAGATATTTTGAAGTTAATGGGCGACAGAAGGCAGTGTATAAATGACAAAGAAGAATATGAAAAGATAAATAAATAAATAAGGGATACGTGTATGAAGGCAAAAGAAGAGTGGCTCAATGAACAATGCAATAAAATTGAACGCAGTCCTGTTAATAAAGATGCAAAAAAAAAAAAAAAAAAAATGCATAAACAAATTAACGAAGAAAGATACTAGTGTCTGAAATCAAAAGCAGGAGAGATCTTAATGGAGGAAGATGATGTAATAAATAGATGGAATGAATATATAAGAGAGTTATATGACGGAAAGAGAGCAGAATTACCAGAAGAACGACATTTATAGAAGGTCCGTCTATACTAAAGAAAGAAGTTAGCGATGCTATTAAACATACGAGGAATGGAAAGTCAACTGGACCAGATGAAATTTCAGTAGAAGAATTAGAAGGGGGAATTCGGGGTTAAACTATTAACTGCTGAATGACATTTTTAACACTGGGTACATTCCAAGTGATGTAATGAAATCTGTATTTATTGCATTACCCAAAAGACCAGGAGCAATTGAGTGTGTGAAGAATTTCGTAAATCTTTTTAATAAATCATATCGCCAAATTACTACTTAGAATTTTAATGAGGAGAACGAAAAAAAAAAGTAATGGAAATGAGTGAAGAGCAGTATGGCTTTATGGAAGCTAAAGGGACAAGTAATGCATTATATATATTGCGAACACTGATAGAAAGATCAATGGACATACGCAAGGGCTTATATTTGTGCTTTATAGATTATACCAAAGCATTTGACAAGTAAAACATGAAGCAGCAATTAAAGTAGGAAACAAAGTGGGTACTTTTGAACAGATAAAGCAAGGAGTACCACAAGGATCTGTCTTATCCCCAGACCTTTTCTCTCTATATAGTGAAATAATTTTGAGGGAAATTAAAGAGAAAGTATGAGTAAGCGTTGGAGGATACAATATAAACAATTTGCGTTATGCAGACGATTCAGTTTTGATAGCTGAAAATGCAACTGATTTACAACAACTACTGGATATTGTGGGGATGGAGAATTCTAAGAAAGGACTTTCATTGAATATTAAGAAAACAGAAGTAATGGTTATATCAAAGAAGAAGATAATTCCAAGTTGTGATATCTCAGTCGAAGGAAAAAGACTTAACAAAGTCGATAAATTTAAACATCTGGCTACAATCATATCATCAGAAGGAAAAAGTGTGACAGAGGCTAGAAACAGAATAAGTCAAACGAAAGCTGCATTGAATGTCAGAAAGAGGGTGCTAAAATGTTAGATAGAATCTGTTCTGTTGTATGGCAGAGAATCTTGGAATGTCACTGAACAAATTAGGAAGAATTTTGAAGCAACAGAGATGTGGTTTCTGAAACGAATGTTACGAATACCTTGGACGGCCAGAGTAACTAACGATTGCTTGAAAGAGACTAATGAAAGTAGATTATATACAAAAAAAGAAAAATACAAACACTGTTCTTTGGCCACATAATGAGAAGAGAGACATTTGAGAACATCGTGACAACTGGAAAGATAATTGAAAAAAAAGGGGTAGAGGCAGACCAATAGAGATGATGCTGGATGGGCTGAAACGATGGCATGGTGGGATATCATCAAGAGAGCTGTTCCAGACAACCAGGGATCGTGATCTGTGGAGACGCATGAGCGCCTACGCCAGTTGGCAGGGCACATGATGATGTTGATGATTGATTATTTAATATATTCACAACATTTTTTTTATTATTAAACTGATGAATTATTAGATTATTCATTACCTTCACAGTTTATTTATAATATCATGACATCGATTCGTTGCATAAATTACATTTAACCAATGTTGAGCCATTTAATTTGTGTAGACACTCACTGGCGAACTGGTTAAAGCAATATGGAGAAACCTTTGGACTACAGTCTGGATCTAAGCTAATTCTGGTGACTGCCAACCTTGACCTGTGGCGACATATTCTCATTAAAGATTTTAGCAACTTCATCGACAGAGAACCCAAAATTATTTCCAGCTCTCCTTTCATCTCTTCTTTGTTTTTCGCTCGTGGATCCGAGTGGCGAAAACATAGGCAGATTCTGTCGCCAACATTTACCACTGGCAAACTAAAATATATTTCCAAGTCAGTTCAGAAATCTGCACAAGATCTGACAGATTATCTAGAAAAACAGGCCAAGAGTGGATCGCTCGTATTGATAAAAGACGTCTGTGGAAGATACACCAGCGAGATCATTGCAAAAACTGCTTTTGGGCTTGACGCTAAATTCGTCGGAGAGGAGAATGCAGAGTTCTACGAGTATTCTAAAAATATGATTGACTTCAAAAATCGCCGTGGACTTTCAAAGTTTATAGCCAATACTTTGCAGCGCATCCCCTATGTGGGTCAAATGTCAACAGAGGTTTTTAAGCTTCAGTACTTTGACCCAGTAAACTTGGTATCAAACAAATATTTCGATGTAATTCTTAAAAGCACAATTCAAGAAAGAAAGCTGCAACAAAAAAATGGCGTAGACAGAACCCATTCTGACCTTCTAGATTTACTTCTAAAGGCAAACGAGGAAGCGGCGGCTGGAAACCTGGAGAAATCTGAAGAACTGGAATGCATTGAGAAAGGAAACGATAGAGAAACATCCGTACATAAGCTAGGAGATGAGGAGATGCTGGGTCATTCCATGCTATTGATTTTTGCTGGAATGGAAACAACAGCGACAACGCTGCAAATGTGTCTCTACGAACTGGCAGCCAATCCAGATGTCCAGGTGAGGTATTTATGTGTTAGTTTAAGGTGATGGGACAATGGTAGACCAGACTATGGTAGACCAGACGATGGTAGATCAGACGATGGTAGACAGGACAATGGTAGATCAGACGATGGTAGACAGGACAATGGTAGACAGAACAATGGTAGACCAGACGATGGTAGACCTGACGATGGTAGACCAGACAATGGTAGACCAGACGATGGTAGACCAGACAATGGTAGACCAGACGATGGTAGACAGGAAAATGGTAGACCTGACGATGGTAGACCAGACGATGGTAGACAGGACAATGGTAGACAAGACAATGGTAGACATGACGATGGTAGACCAGACGATGGTAGACAAGACAATGGTAGACAGGGCAATGGTAGACCTGGGGATGGTAGACTAGACGATGGTAGACAAGACGATGGTAGACCAGACGATGGTAGACAGGACAATGGTAGACCTGACGATGGTAGACCAGACGATGTTAGACCAGACGATGGTAGACAGGACAATGGTAGACCTGACGATGGTAGACCAGACGATGGTAGACCAGGCGATGGTAGACCAGACGATGGTAGACAGGACAATGGTAGACAAGACAATGGTAGACCAGACGATGGTAGACAGGACAATGGTAGACCAGACAATGGTAGACCAGACAATGGTAGACAGGACAATGGTAGACCAGACGATGGTAGACCAGACGATGGTAGACCAGACGATGGTAGACCAGACGATGGTAGACCAGATGATGGTAGACAAAACGATGGTAGACTGGACAATGGGAGACAAGACAATGGTAGACCAGACGAGGGTAGACCAGACGATGGTAGACAGGACAATGGTAGACAAGACAGTGGTAGACCAGACGATTGTAGACCAGACGATGGTAGACAGGACAATGGTAGACAAAACAATGGTAGACCAGACGATGGTAGACAGGACAATGGTAGACCAGACAATGGTAGACCAGACAATGGTAGACAGGACAATGGTAGACAAGACAATGGTAGACCAGACGATGGTATACCAGACGATGGTAGACCAGACGATGATAGACAGGACAGTGGTAGACCAGACGATGGTAGACCAGACGATGGTAGACAAAACGATGATGGACAGGACAATGGTAGACCAGACGATGGTAGACCAGACAATGGTAAACCAGAACATGGTAGACAGGACAATGGTAGACAAGACAATGGTAGACATGACGATGGTAGACCAGACGATGGTAGACAAGACAATGGTAGACAGGACAATGGTAGACCTGGGGATGGTAGACAAGACAATGGTAGACCAGACGATGGTAGACCAGACGATGGTAGACAGGACAATGGTAGACCTGACGATGGTAGACCAGACGATGTTAGACCAGACGATGGTAGACAGGACAATGGTAGACCTGACGATGGTAGATCAGACGATGGTAGACCAGGCGATGGTAGACCAGACGATGGTAGACCAGACGATGGTAGACAGGACAATGGTAGACAAGACAATGGTAGACCAGACGATGGTAGACAGGACAATGGTAGACCAGACAATGGTAGACCAGGCAATGGTAGACAGGACAATGGTAGACAAGACAATGGTAGACCAGACGATGGTAGACCAGACGATGGTAGACCAGACGATGGTAGACAGGACAGTGGTAGACCAGACGATGGTAGACCAGATGATGGTAGACAAAACGATGGTAGACTGGACAATGGGAGACAAGACAATGGTAGACCAGACGATGGTAGACCAGACGATGGTAGACAGGACAATGGTAGACAAGACAGTGGTAGACCAGACGATTGTAGACCAGACGATGGTAGACAGGACAATGGTAGACAAGAATATGGTAGACCAGACGATGGTAGACAGGACAATGGTAGACCAGACAATGATAGACCAGACAATGGTAGACAGGACAATGGTAGACAAGACAATGGTAGACCAGACGATGGTATACCAGACGATGGTAGACCAGACGATGATAGACAGGACAGTGGTAGACCAGACGATGGTAGACCAGACGATGGTAGAGAAAACGATGATGGACAGGACAATGGTAGACCAGACGATGGTAGACCAGACAATGGTAGACCTGACGATGGTAGACCAGACGATGGTAGACCAGACAATGGTAGACCAGACAATGGTAGACAGGACAATGGTAGACAAGACAATGGTAGACCAGACGATGGTAGACAGGACATTGGTAGACCAGACGATGGTAGACAGGATAGTGGTAGACCAGACGATGGTAGACCGGATGATGGTAGACAAAACGATGGTAGACTGGACAATGGGAGACAAGACAATGGTAGACCAGACGATGGTAGACCAGACGATGGTAGACCAGACGATGGTAGACAGGACAATGGTAGACCAGACAATGGTAGACAAGACAATGGTAGACCAGACAATGGTAGACAGGACAATGGTAGACTAGACAATGGTAGACCAGACGATGGTAGACCAGACGATGGTAGACAGGACAATGGTAGACAAGACAGTGGTATACCAGACGATGGTAGACCAGACGATGGTAGACAGGACAGTGGTAGACCAGACGATGGTAGACCAGACGATGGTAGACAAAACGATGGTAGACAGGAAAATGGTAGACCAGACGATGGTAGACCAGACAATGGTAGACCTGACAATGGTAGACCAGACGATGGTAGACAAGACGATGGTAGACAGGACAATGGTAGACCAGACGATGGTAGACAAGACGATGGTAGACCTGACGATGGTAGACAAGACGATGGTAGACCAGACAATGGTAGACCTGACGATGGTAGACCTGACGATGGTAGACCAGACGATGGTAGACAGGACGATGGTAGACCAGACGATGGTAGACCAGACGATGGTAGACCAGACGATGGTAGACCTGACGATGGTAGACCAGACATCGGTAGACCTGACGATGGTAGACCAGACAATGGTAGACCTGACGATGGTAGACCTGACGATGGTAGACCAGACAATGGTAGACAAGACATTGGTAGACCAGAAATGTGTAGACTAGACGATGGTAGACAAGACAATGGTAGACAAGACGATGGTAGACAAGACGATGGTAGACCAGACAATGGTAGACCAGGCAATCGTAGACCAGACATTGGTAGACCAGACGATAGTAGACCTGATGATGGTAGACCAGACAATGGTAGACCAGACGACGGTAGAAGGACAATGGTAGACAGAACAATGGTAGACCAGACGATGGTAGACTAGACGATGGTAGACCAGACAATGGTAGACCACACGATGGTGGACAAGACAGCTGTGGACAATACAGGTAGATGAGGACAGTGGTAGACCAAACGATGGTAGATGAGACTTTGGTAGATGATACAGTTGTAGACGAGTCTTTGGTAGACTAGACGGTGGTAGACAAGACAGTGATAGATAAGACAGTGAAAGATAAGAAATTTTTAGACAAGATAGTGGTAGACTAGACGGTGGTAGACTAGATGGTGGTAGACTAGACGGTAGTAAACAAGACAGTGGTAAACAAGACGGTGGTAGACTAGACGGTAGTAGACTAGACGGTGGTAAACAAGACAGTGGTAAACAAGACGGTGGTAAACAAGACGGTGGTAGACTAGACGGTGGTAGACTAGACGGGGTAGACTGAACGGTGGTAGACAAGACGGTTATAGATAAGACAGTGATAGATAAGACAGTGGTAGATAAGACAGTGATCGATAAGACAGTGATAGACTAGACGGTGATAGACTAGACGGTGGTAGACTAGACGGTGGTAGACTAGACAATGGTAGACTAGACGGTGGTAGACTAGACGGTGGTAGACTAGACAATGGTAGACTAGACGGTGGTAGACTAGACGGTGGTAAACAAGACAGTCGAGACAGTGTTAGACTAAATGGTGGTAGACGAGACAGTAGTAGACAAGACATTGGTAGGCATTACAGTGGTAGACAAGACAGTGGTAGACGATTCATCGATAGACCAGACAGTCGCAGACGATACGTTGATAGACGATATAGCTATAGACAAGACAATGGTAGACAGGACAGTGGTAGAAAACCCGGGGGTAGACAAGGCAGGGGTAGGCCTTTGGAATGATATGGTAGGATTGTGTTTTTTCTGTGTGTTTGGTTGAGGAATTAGCAGCATAGCCATCTCAGAGCAAAACACCATAAAATGATAAGTATACACCCTAGGTACTTTAAAACTTGCATGCACAGTAAGCCCCAGACCCCCTCGCGGTCTAACAAATAACATTTAGACAACAAGACAGCACGGTATTAGCATCATATGTAATTCTTGTGTAGATAAATATTTAGCGGGAATATGCGTTAACAAGTAAAACGATTTATGTGAACAAATATACGCTAAAAAAAACCAACTATTTGAAGTCATTCTGTCTGTCTGTGTGTCAGTGCGTTTATCTTCCTGGCTATTTGATTTTCTGAAGTTTAGGTTCATTTATCTCGAATGTTTCGCTAACGGTATATTTATTGCTTCCTGTATCTTTATGGTCATTCGTTGACATATTGCTAATGTATACTTGCAGGAGAGAGTATTCCAAGAGATTGCACGAGTCGTCAAACATGACCTCCCAACATTGGAAGAACTCCATGACCTGACCTACATACAACAAGTCGTGGATGAAACACTTCGCCTCTATCCGCCTGTAGCGTCAGCTAAAAGAATAGCTCTAGAAACCAAAACATACAACGGTGTTACTATACCAAAAGGTACCACTGTTGTATTGCCATACTTCTACACTTTGAAAGACCCTAGAATGTTCCAAGACCCAGAGACATTTAACCCCAGTCGGTTCTCTCCAGAAGAAAAAGACAAACGGGATCCTCTGGCCTTTTCTGCATTTGGTCATGGTCCAAGAATTTGTCTAGGAATGAGGTTGGCCTATCTGGAGCTTAAACAAGGCCTGACACAGATTATAAGGAGACTTAGAGTTGTTCTTAACGATAAAACAGAGCCAAAGAAAGGGTCACATAGAATGTCGTTCAGAGAACATAATCTTCTAGTGCCAGAAACACCAGTGGCTCTCTTGTTTGAGCTGCGTGAAGCCAACCAGTAAATAACTGTACGAACTAGCAGTATTATTTTATCACCATCGAGTGTCATCTCATAGAAGGTCGGTTGTTATCAGTATCCAACACCTTCTGTCCCGTTTTGCATCGTTTGTGTGTTTTCCTATAGTTTCTCTTTTGGTATTGTCTTCGTCTCGCCCGTCTCCTGGCAAACATTTTCTGCTCTGTTTTTTCACGCAGTCTTTGTTTAATAAAAAAATCAAAATCCCTGCACTCTGGTCATTTCCATAAGCGCTCAGTCCCCATCTTCAGCAGCAAGCGCAGAGATCCAGTTCCGATGGTGCTAATAATAAACTGATTCAGACAGCGCCGAACCATCTGTGTCTTCGTACTGTTCACTCGCCCAAAAAAAGCTCTTACAACATCTAATGTGTCATGTATCAGTTCAACATCAAGCTATACAGAAAAAGCCCTTTTATCTGCCTGTGTCATTATCTAATACACCAGCATACCCTGTAGCAAATATTCACAGAATACAAACTACTCGGACCTTTGAAGCATGCTTGCCACTCTGCAAGAGAGCATACCGGTCTCTGCCTTTCTCAGCATGCTCTGTGAGTGGGTTACAATTACGACATGTGTGTACAGCTGATTCTCAAACCAGCCAAAGGCAGCAGAGACTACCTCCACGTCCATTCTCAAACTGGATGTGGTGGTATCATACGTCATGCTTTGTTGCACCAAGCGACGTCCATTCGCTTTTGCTAAGAACCATCATGAACTTCTTCTGTCTCTCACCACAGAGCCATCTGTATAGATAAACACATCATTTGGGCGGGAATTGTCATGAATAATTTGTTGAACTTCTGATTCTGCAGCGCCTGCTGGCCAGCCCTTGCACTCACGATCTAAAGTTATAAAAACCCTACAAGATTCTTGCTGGGACACTTACCCAGTGTTATCAAGCCTGCACACATGTATAACTGTGTTTTTATCATGTGCCTCCAAGACCTTTCTCTTTTCACCCGGTGACTCTGTCCGTGACTTTATGCAGGCTGTGCTTCTTGTCTACGGCTACACTGGGATGTGACTTTGCTTGCAGAGACATACAAACATGGCTCGGACCAGCACGTGAAACTCAGAACGAGGGTTGTAAGATTAGACCAAGGTCTCATCAGTTAGTATGTGTTTGGCAGCTGGCGTGAACGGTCGTATTTGATAGACAAGTGAATATGACATTGTATAATTGAAGACGTGAAAGAGATTTGATTCCATGAGAGGACAAACAGACGACAACCCAATGGCAGCCTAGCCAGAAGTGGTAGTCGACGAGTTCCAGCCTGCTAAGGAACCTAACAGCCATGATCAGAGATGCTAGATCAACCATTGTGTGTATTGCGTGTATTATAAATCACGACTGAAAGGCAACGAGAGAGGATGGTATTAGACGGCGATTCTGTACTCGACAAATGCCATCATGTCTGGTTGCACCTGCTAGTTCATAGTAGACATTGACTGGACCAGATGACCTGTTAAAGTTCATTAAAGAATATAACCGGATATCGTCTACTCGTTACCGACTGTGTGCATTCAGAATGTCATCTATGTCTTACATATGAAAAACCCCTAGCAACCAGTCAGCACATCGAGGAGACCATATCCCACGTGGGATCTTTTGTACATCCAAGAATTATCCTCATAGTTTCATTCTGTATGCGTTCGTTTCATCAGCTAACTCGTTGATATGGTCAGCATTCCAAGTGCTTAATCTGTCACCGAGAGGATCGAATAGTGGAACACTGTGAACATTATTCTTTGCTCGATGTTTATTGCTGCCATAAACGTCAGTGAATTGAATCCTTTTCCCCCTGGCATTTTCCTGCAGCTCCTACGTATGATAACTGAAGGACAGGCTTTCATCGAAGGTGTTTCTCAGGTACTTCAATTTTCGATCACTTTTATTGTTTCTAACTTGGAACATCAGACCTTTACAATTCTATTGTCCAGAGAGGCAGCATGAAGCATCCGCCTTTTCTGGGTTGATGATGGCACCCTTGGCTGAAAACGTCAGTCACTTTGGCTACAGTTACTGTCTGCATTCCAGAACATTATCCACAAATGTCAATGTTCTTACAACACCTGGTACTTCAAACTCTGCAATCCTGCTTTATAAACAATGAGGGAAAAAAAAAAGATTAGTTGCGTATCCTTTACAGGACATTGCAGATCAACCACAGCCTTGTTTGCCTGTTTTTTTTTTTTTAAATTTTTTTTAAAGCAAATTTACATCCAGTAGTTTGTTTGCCAAGGCTTTCTGGACGGTCTACTTCTTAATACCACTGTGGAAACCAATGCAAGGCCCCTAGCTGGGGTCGAAAATGGCACCCCGGCATTCGAACACAAGGCAGAGCACTGGGGAAATTGCAGAGCCCTAGGGGTAATCCCGGGGCAATATTGCATGCTCCTGAGGTACATGTGCCCAGGCAGAGGCAGACTTTACGCCAATGCAGGATAGCTGTTATCCAGTTCACCAACCAAGAACGGACACCATCCTCCATGAACTCAAATATCAAAACATCAGCTCTGAGTACTGTAGGCATCCTCAAGATACAGATTGCCACTACCGTCCCTGTCTACTCTGGAACCCCTCATAAGCGTAAAAGGCAAATGTAGCCGCATTTGACCAGGTATCTTTTCCCGCGCGGTAACTTCCCAGACCATCTGACAAGAGCTCGTTGATTTCTAAAAAATAAAATACATTTTAACAGCAATAATCTTTTGAAGCACCATGCCAGAGATATTTTGATGAGCCATAATCCCGAAACCCCTGAGTCTGGAATGATCTTTGCCTGGTTTTGGAAGAGGTATTTGATAGCTGTGCACGCAATCATTGGGTACTAAGGCAGTTCTGATGCTCTGGTTGAAGTAAAATGTCATATCTCTCAAATCTGCATTACTCATGTCCTTCATGTGGGCATACCTGTCTCCGTGTGGACCCGGCCCAATGTGTTTTACTGTTTTTGTAATATTCATTTTCTATCATCTATAGTTAGTTAGTCGACAGATTATCATCACTGCACGTCGAACCACTCAGTCCATAGGTGCTCAGATCCCCTTCTCAGTAAATCCCGCAGCGTGTAGCGGCTAACGACACCAGTTCTGTGTTGGTTTATTATTATTATTCTGTGACTACCCGTGTAGTGTTCTTGTGTGGCGACAACCCGTTTAACATTTTGTTCTTGCACTCTGACAAATGGTTGCAGATTAACAGTTCTCAGTTGGTTCACGCAAACGTCTTACCTCTCTTGGCGAATTCAGTATATCAGCCTTGTCGCTCTCTTGTCCGGCTTTCACAGTAGCCTTACCTGCAAGTCTATCAGCTTGCTTAGTTCCTTGTACCCCCACATGTCCTGGCACGAAAATAAAACTAATCCTTGTCAGCCGTGAATTCTGTAGAGCCATCAACCATTACCTTCGGACCCAGCCCATCTCTATCTTCCTGAGCATACTCATCGAGTCACTGAGAAAGCATGCCCAAATGAAAGTCTGTGTCTCTAGCCATGTTACTGCTTTAGTCACAGCCCTGACCTCCATAGTTAGAATACTTGTAGCTACGGCAAAAGCTCCAGAATCTTCCTTCACAACTCTCCCTCCAAACTGAGCCATGAAAGCCCACTATCTTCTAACGTGGCGGATTACAGAACCATCTGTGTAAATGACAGCATAAGTCTTTAGAGCGTTCTCGAAAATCAAGTATATCATCCATTCTGACGGCAATTATCATTAATGGTAGTCAATAGATTATCCCTGTGTTTCTTGTCATTATGATCAGTTTGTGCTTTAAATATGTAGTGCATGTGTCAGCTTTCCCCCAGTTTGTCTCTTGGCGCTCAAGCCAACATTCAGGCCAACATTTTGTGTGTGTTTATAATTATCCGAGCTTTATGGTCCAAGTACCATAATAGTTTGACCTTGACCTCATTCAGTAAGTGTTCACCGTTGTTTGAAGAAAAGTATGGTCCTTGTGCATTCTATGGTCAAGTAGAACAAATGCGGCTCCTGTTGATACTTAGTTACAGAAAAGTCAATTGGTCTATTGTTGTTTGTAACTGTTTTATTGTTAGTTCAAGCTGTAAATTGAGGAAGGCTTTCTAACAAGCAATTGTTTTACTGTGTAAGACTAGTTCTACTATTTTTTGGATCGTTTTGTCGTTGTTCCCTCCCTCCCCCATCCCCGCCGTCACCTTGTTATGCTCTGCTTTGTATCAGATTGTTTTTAATATTCATATTCCAAGTGCTATTTCAGCCTTACGCGTGTCGATGTGTGAATTAATATTTCCAGGGAACAAAATACTTTTGACTTCTATCAATAGTCAGAAAAATGTACACAAGAATTTTAGTTAAAATTGTTCTTTTGAACTTTAATATTTTTTCAGGCTTTAATTATGTATGTCTCAGATCTCAATGAACAAAGATAAAAAATATGCCTGGTTCGAAGCTAAGCGATGCTCAGTCCCTGTTTCTTTTCAGCTTGACCAACAAACAGTTAAAAACAATGACCTAGCAGCAGCTCAAAATATGAAACAAACTAACAGTCAAGATGAGACAGAACACACAGTAACAGCAAGACTGCGACAGACATTATAACTTCGCAACATACACTTAGATAATAAGAAGATAAATCGAATGGAAACGTTCAAGTACAGTGTGGCACCTTGGAATTTACAACTAACCCTTTCCTTTACGCTTATCAAAATTCAAATCATTCGATTTCCAATGCAGTTTCTCTCATTTAAAACAAAGGAGACCTTTTTACTCTGTTCCATAGTCAAACAAACTCAGATTTAAAAATTAGTTTTTAAAAGTACTGAATGCTGTAAATATACGTTAAAAACGAGCAATTGTAATATTTTAATAAAAACATAATACATGTATGTTTAAGAGATTTTATAATGTGTTTTACTGCAGGTTGATAAAGGGGGAAGAAAAACAACACTATGTAACAGCACATATAAGTCGGTAGAGGAAGCTGAATTTGAGGAAATGA